ATCTCAAACATTTCTATTTGAATGTATTCATGAGCAGCTACATGTTAATATATTAATTAAAGTACAAATTTTGTTTCTATTTTTTTCTTCTTCTTCTTCTTCTTCTTCTTCTTCTTCTGATTTTAGATGACTTGAATAATAAAGAGATCTTATTTTTTATTTATTACAATAATAAAAATAACAACGGAGTCTGGTGTGTTGAATAAATAAAATGTCAAGTTTTCGATAATCGAGCGAGCTATGACAGGCATTTGGCCGCCGATCATCCATGAATCGATTTGATTGGAATAAACTTTCACCCGACGAATTCGAACGTCTACAAGAATATATTTCATGTAAGTTATTAATACACAACATTCTTTATTATTCAATATGTATATTTTCAAACGATGACAAACCATACTTTCAACCATCATCTATTAATATGTTTAAAATGAGTATAAATATCTTTTTTATTTATCTATTAAGATGCACCCAAGAAAGTAAAAGATGTTGTTGCCATTCTTCAACAAGATTCCACCTGGCTAGCTCATAGATATGATGAGGTATAGTAGTCTTGTTTTCTTGTTGTTAATTAGAAATATTTTGTCTTATTGTTTGTTTTCAATTAGCAACTTGATTATCAAGGTTTTCGACAATTTCTTGAATTACTCTTTGACAATTCTGATATACCAGAAGATCTATGTCGACACTTATTTTTATCATTCATCAAAAAACCTGCTGTTATCGTATCGACCGATACATCATCGACCATTGGTATTCTTCCTATTGTTACTGCAGCAATACCACCAACTACAGTAACAACTATATCAACTTGTCCATCATCAACATCAACAACAATTACATCAACTATAACATCAAATCGTACATTTGAAATTGTCGATAAATTACCAAGTTTTTCATTTTTACCTGACAAATTTTTCCGACCACGACGAGGTCTTACTAATTTTAATGATGATACCGGTACAGGTATATCAAATGATTCAAAAACTCGAACTGGTAAAATAAAATCAAATAAATTTTTTTTTTTGCAATATTTATTTCATCAATTAAATATAATTTATAGGTGTATGTCGTACTGGAAAAGAACGTCTTTTGCATCGAGGTAATTCACATGATCAACATCCTGAATCACCAGAAAATTCTCGACAATCATCAAGAAAATCTAATCCTTCTATTCATTCCATCCATTCATTACACAATAATGGTAAGAAAAAAAAATTATTTAAATATATATAAAATCTGTTTAAAAAAAACAATAAAAAAATTAATTTAGCTATATCAGCTGTTCCTAGTGCTGATGATCCTTGGGTATTTCGTACATCTCTATCACAATTATTAAATAAAATATCTGGTAATGATCCAACACGTGATGTTCATCATCACCATCATCATCATCATCATCATCATTTACCATTTCATTCTCATCATCATTCAAATGCACAACAAGCAGCTATGATTCAATCACAACAAGAAATTGATATACATACAGCACGAATTCAATTCAAGGATATTATTTGTTATTTTTCATTACTTGAAGGTGGTACACCAGAACAAAAACTTGAATGTAAATATCAATAAAACGAAGAAAGAAAAAGACAATCATTTCTATCCGTAATTATGTTATTTTTCTTTTTTTTCTTTTAGTTATGTTCATGTTGTATGATGAGGACAGTAATGGAATACTTGATAAACAGGTTTCAAAATAAATCTCTAAGAAAAAAAAATGAAATAATGAAATTACTTTATATATATATATATATGTAGGAAACGGATTCAATCGTTAATCAAATGATGAATGTTGCTGAATATCTAGGTTGGGATGTATCAGAATTACGACCAGTAATATTTAATAAAATTCATCATTGTTAAACATATCTATATATCTATAATTTATTTCTGATTAGATTCTCGAAGCGATGATGAAGGAAATCGATTATGACAATGATGGTGCTGTTACGTTAGAAGAATGGAAACGAGGTGGATTAACAACCGTACCTCTACTTGTTTTACTAGGACTTGATTCAGTATGTATTTTATTTTTGGTTTTTTTTTCTTAAGAAAAAAAAAGAAGAACAAAACAATCGAAAAGATTATTATTTATTTATTTGTTTTAATATAGAATGTGAAAGATGATGGAACACATTCGTGGAGATTAAAACATTTTAATAAACCTGCTTATTGTAATCTTTGTTTAACAATGTTAGTTGGCTTGGGAAAACAAGGTTTATGTTGTACATGTAAATTGATATTTTTTTTTTTTTTTATTAAATTTTAATTAAACCAAATATATATATATAAATTCATTTATTTTAGTTTGTCGATATGTTGTACATGAACGATGTGCTAATCGAGCACCATCTAATTGTATATCGACATATGCTAAAGCACGTAAAGTTGATACAACTATGTTACATCATTGGATTGAAGGAAATTGTCCTGGAAGGTATTTAACAAAAAACAAATTTCTTTTTGTTTGTTTTATTTTTGTATTTTACAAAAAATCAAAGATGTGATCGATGTAAAAAATCAATTAAAACATATAATGGTATAACAGGTCTTCATTGTCGTTGGTGTCAAATGACTTTACATAATAAATGTGCGTCACAATTAAAACCTGAATGTACATTAGGCCCAAATCGTGATCATATTATACCACCATCATGCATTTGTCCAGCTGTTTTGGTATAAAAATGAAAGAAAAAACAAAACAAACTATTTAAATATATTTATATAATTTAGGAACGACCAAAAATACCACGAACTGGAAATGGTCTTAAACCAGAAGAATCATGTGTTGAAGGATCAATACAATCATTTCAAATAAATCCATTACCAAGTACACATCCATTATTGATTTTTATTAATCCCAAATCGGGTGGTAAACAAGGAGAACGGTGATTATAATTAAGATTCTTTTTTTTTAAAAGAAATATATATTTATTTTGATATCAGAATTATGCGAAAATTTCAATTTTTATTAAATCCTCGTCAAGTTTTTAATCTTACAAAAACTGGACCAATGCCTGGGTAAATTCCATCATAATAAAATCTTTAATATCATCATATTTATTTTCTTTTTTTTGTGTTTTAAATAGATTACAATTTTTTAAAGATCTAGAAGATTTTCGTGTTCTTTGTTGTGGTGGTGATGGTACAGGTAAAAATGAAATAATAAGTTTTATTTTTGAAACAAAAAAGAAAAAAGAAAAAACATAATTTTTTTGTTATTTTGTCTAGTTGGTTGGGTACTTGATGTTATGGATAGAGTACCACTTCGTCGTCGAGCACCAGTTGCTGTTCTACCATTAGGTACAGGAAATGATTTAGCTCGATGTTTAGCATGGGGTGGTGGTTATGAAAATGAAAGTTTAAATAAAATACTTAAAAAAATTTCACAAGCACCGGTGATCATGCTCGATCGATGGCAAATTGAATTTAGTACACGAACAGATACAGACGAAAAAGGCGATGATATTCCATATAATATAATTAATAATTATTTTTCTATCGGTGTTGTAAGTATTTCGATTAAATTAAACAAAAAACTAATAATATATTTTTGTTCTTTTTTCATTTGAATATTTAGGATGCTTCCATTGCTCATCGATTTCATTTAATGCGTGAAAAACATCCAGAAAAATTTAGTAGCAGGTAAGAAAATTTTTTATTTAAAAATCTATTTTATTTAAATTATATTTTGTTTTTTTTTTTTAATTTCAATAGAATGAAAAATAGATTATGGTATCTAGAATTTGGTACATCAGAAGCTATTTTTTCTACATGTAAAAATTTACATGAAGATATTGATATAATGGTAAATAGAAAAAACATAAAATAAAGTAATATTTATTAATTATAAAAATATATATTTAGTGTGATGGTGTTTCTTTGGATTTATCAAATGGACCATCTTTAGAAGGCATCGCATTATTAAATATTCCAAGTATTTACGGTGGAATATCTTTATGGGGTGAAGGACATAGACATAAAAATCGTAAAACTCCATTAAAATTACAACGTAAAGATTCGTATGTTGAATTTTTAAGAAATTTTTATTATTAATATCATGTATACATATATATATATATTTATTATTTGAAGTGAATACTCTACGAGTTCAACGTCAGATATAGCATTTGTTTTACAAGGTAAATTGATTTAAATATTAAAAAATAAGCAAAATTGTTGTGTTTTTTCTAAAGATATTGGCGACAAATTAATTGAAGTTGTTGGTGTACAATCAGCTATTCATGCGGGTTCTATTTATGCTGGTGTTCGATCAAGTGCTAAACGACTTGGTCAATGTTCATCAGTGGTTATCAGGTAAAAAAGCAGCAAAAAGAAAAGTTATTATATGTTTTATTTAATAAATTTATTTTAAAAAAATCTAGAACTCGCAAAAGTTTCCCGATGCAAATCGATGGTGAACCTTGGCTTCAACCACCATGTACGATTTCAATAACACATAAAAATCAAGTTCCGATGTTAATGGCACCACGAAAAGAACGTAAAAATAGTTTATGGCGTTTATTTAAAAAATAAAAGTCGGGAAAACTGTGATAATCGAATTATGATAAACCTAACACACACCATATTAAAACATCTGTTTTCTTCCTTTTTGTTTTTTTCATCATATTCTTTTTCTAAACAGTGATGTTTCTAGTCTGATAGATATTATTCTCCATCATGTCAATGTGTGTGTGACATTCTATGAATATTTTGCCTATTAAGAGTACATCAGAATTGTACGTGTATGTCAGACGAAATTTAGCAATTGTTAGTCTTGATATTGATAGTGGTGTTTTATTTTATTCTTCTTATGTCCTATGATCACCGCCTTATAGTGTATTTCTTGTGTTTTCTACGATGGTATATATCTAATTATATATGTATCTTGTATTACTACATTTTTATTTCAAAGGCGTACACACATAGGCACAGAAAGAAAGAGAGAGAAAGAAAGAGTGACATTGAATAAAATGAGAATTAAATTAATGTTAACATCCACGAAAACGTGCCATTGGCAGTGTAGAAGATTTACGTATATCAAGCAATTGATTTGTACTATTTGTTTTTGCTAATGATGCTAAACGAGATTGATTTGTTGATTGAAATAAAATAAATATAGTTAATGGCATAGAAATAAGATAAATGATAAATAAAACATGATCAATTAATATAGCTATTTGTTTAGCAGACCATTTACTTTGAGATTCTGAATAAAATAATGGATGACGAAAATTAAATGATGATAATGCTGTTGTTGTAACTATTGAATTTCGTCGTATAAACATATTCATTAGTGATTGTCGAAAATATTGTATATCATGTAATAATTCTATGGCATCCATATTTGTATTTTCAGGTAAACCTTCATGAATATTTTGACGTTTTCTTAAAAATAACCAACGTTGTTTATTTAATTCAATTAATGATTTATGTACTGTAACTAAAATATTTTTTTTACGTTTTGGAATTTGATGTTGATAAGAATATTGTTCATGATAATAAATAAATATTGTTAATGTATTAAATATACATGAAAGAAAAACAAGAAGAAATACTACATTGGAATACAATGTTAATGTACAAAGACCACGTTCTGTTTTTGGAACATAAGTAGATATCAATTGTAAATAAATAATTAATGAAAGTAAAATACTGAGAGTAAGTGCTATTTTTTCACCACTATCTGTTGGTAAACAAAATGAAAATACAGCAAGTGATGATATAATACAAAATGGTAATATAATTTTTAATACATAAAAACGTGAAAATCGTACAAGTTCCATTTTAATTTGAAGTGTACTAAAATTACGTTTATGATTTGTATTATATAAATCAAATTCTTGAATTGTTGTATGTGAAATTTCCCATTCCGTATTGATATAATTATATAAACGTACAACATTATACAAACTAATTAATTTTAATTGACTCGAATCATATATCGTTGATTGAAGTAGAATAGAACAATATTGACGATCAAATGGAAAATTTAATACATCAATTTCACAAAATGATACAAGTTTTTCTTGATGTGACCATGAAGCAAGACCTGTACAAACAACTGATATTGGATATTGAAGTTTTGATTCTTTTCTTAGTGGTCCTGGTCCATTTATTGCAATTATATCTGGTGTCCAGATTTCTTGTGCAGTAAAGAATATTTCTGAACGATTTTGTCTAATACATGGTTGTTCACTTATATTCCATTGTAAAAGTTCATCACACCATTTGTATTCAAAATTAACATTTAATGTTATAACCTTAATTTAAAGATAAAAACAAATTTTGTCTTCATTTATTTATGCGACATATCTTTAAAAAAAGGAGGGTGGAACTTATCTAAATCATAATACAAACCTGTTTTTGTGGATCAATACCTGCTACTTCAATTATTCCTAAACCAACAGCAACTGTTGTTTGACTAAGATTGTTCATTGATGGTCGTGTTAATATATGATTTCGATAACGTTTTGTTATTTTTATTCGGTTTCGTTGCACTGCACTATAATTTTTTGCATATATTGTTATTGATATAGTTATTAGTATTAGAGAAATAAATCCATATGTTGAAGGCATGCTTGAACTACTCTCTCTTTTCATAGAATGAGTTTGATCGAAACAGTGCAAAAAGTCATCCCATCATTTCCATAATCTTATAGAAAACATGATGCATGACATATCATTTGAAAATATATCCTTGATTAGAATATACATAAATAGACTAAAGAAATAACCATATTGTGTTTCTTTGTTTACAAGTTTAGCATTCGTTCTCTTTAGTTTCGTTTTCCAGAATATAAAAGAATAAATAAATTTACAATAAATTATCATAGTAATGCTTTTCTGCATTGAAGAGTGTGGGTGTTCTTTCTACCGACATCCACAGCCACAGCCAACCCCACTGGGTAGAAGAGCTACCAGTTATTTTCATCCAAAATATATCCGCTTGAGTTTCATTTTAAGCAGATTGCACAAGCTTTCATTGCATTAAAGCAAATCTTTTGCGAAAACAACTGTCACCAATGTGGTTGCTTACGAGCAGTTTAGTAGAAAAAGTGATTATAATAACCAAAGCAATCGAATCTAATGCAACGTTCTACTCTTCCATGAAAGTATATTTTTTCGAGAGATTGTCTTTCTATAATAGGCTTTGTCTTTTTATTTGCTCTCAGAATGAACTCAAAAAAAGACCTGTTATACTTTCAGAGAAAAAAATAAGTGCATCACAATAACCAATCATATTGAGTGTTTGCAAGAGCAGGCATATGGAAAACAATGAGAAATGGAAGATTCTCAGCATATCGAATGAGTCTCGAGGAAAGAAAAACGGAAAATACAATAAAAAGAGCATCCTCTTCGAGCCAAGAGAATCTTGTAAGGCGGACACACAAGAAGGAAGATTCACCAACAGGACATCGGTAACTTTTGTAATCAGCGGGCTAAAAGGCCTGTACTGAGAAAGTTAGTGTTCCGATATTACTGTGAATCAAAGAGAAGACCAACTTAGAATTAAACACATACACCCACGCCCATGGATACTTCTTATATGCGACCATAAGTCAAATAAAATTTTAAAATATTATTAAAACTTTCAACTTCAGTCAACA